TGTATGCTCTGGTGACCCGAAGCAGAGCTGTCCTCTGAGTCGAGGCTAGCCTTTTTTTGTCGTAGTGTGAGGTTACGGAACCAGAAGGAAGACACATAACTCAGGATACTCTCCACAACACCTTTATATATCATGATTGTGGCTGGATACCTAAGGCCCCAGAATGCGCCCCCCACGCGAGCTAGACCGTTCATTGCTAGGGCCATCCTACCTGCCAAATATTCCAAGTGAAGTGTCACATTTAGGCCTAAACCTAACCTAACTCCTAGGTAGGTTACCACCTCACTTGGACGTATTCTCTGGCCTTCTATGTTCGTTGTTATAGAGTGTGCCCCTGAGTGAAATGGCTTGAGTCTTGGCAGCAGCCATTCTCATTTTCTTCCCCTCACATAACCTCGCGACCAGACCAGCACATCGCTCTGCTTCTGTACTGACTCCAGCTCTGCTGTTTGAGGCCACCACAGCAGCTCATCAACATAGGCAGTAGCAGGGAACCGCTATTCCTCTAACACTCCCAGCAATTCATCGAAGACAATGTTCCACAGAGATGGGCCAAGGACTGATCCCTGAGGGCATCCCCTCTCTATGGAAGCTTTTACCTCATGGCGAATCTTGACACGCCTGTCCTGGATGTAGCCTCTTACAAGTAAATAAAAATTGCTGGAAACATTGTATTTCTGCTGTAAGCAGCTGCTAGGCCACCATACACCGTCGAAGGCGGAAGATATATCAAAAAGTAATAACATAAAATAACGTTCCGCCCTCTCTTCAACATCTTGGCGAACTCTCAGCAGAGCATCAGCGGACCCTCTGCCTCTAGTTGGACCGTATTGCCGTGGATGGCTTGCTCTGTCGAAAACAGTGCGTAAGCTTGACATCATGAGGTTCTCTAAGATCTTGCTCATCACAGGGAGGAGACATATAGGTCTATATGAGTTAGGGAGTTGCTTATCCCTATCGCTGATCTTGTAGGGGAGTCTCATATCAGCAATCTTCCAGGTTCCAGGGAAGTATCCCGTATCCAGACACCCATTGAAAAATATTAAATTATGGTCTTCTATATACGGAACACTGTTCCTTAAGATTGCCCCGTCTATTGCATCAAAACCTGGAGAACGATTAATTTTCTTCCTATCAACGTCAATACGAAGATAGTGAATGTCCCATGGTGGGCATAAATCTAATCCGGTCGGATACACCGTGGTACCTCTCAAAAAACTTCTTTTTTTTTAAACTCTTTATTTATACGTTTGTACATGATTCTGGGATATTTTTATTTTTGGGAACAATATAGGGTACCTGTGGTGCAGCCCAGCGTGCGGCTGCACGCCTTAGGAAGGGACTGCACCTTCTCTTTCTTCTTCTTCTTCCTCCGTCGCTTCCTCTACGGCTTCCGGCGGGCGTCCTCTCCCGAGGGTGAATTGCTCCGGACCCACCGCCTCCTTCCATCTCCTGATTTACTCAGTGAAGTAGGGGTAGCAGTCCTCGATCATCAGCCTCGGTTGGTCCGTCTCTTCCATCGCAAATAGTCCTGTCATCCTTGACAGCCAGGCTCTGTGCCCAGCCATCTTTTCGCAGCTCAGGACTACATGCTCAGCCGTGTCCGGAATCCCACAAATGGGGCACAAGGGGTTGATGTTCTTTCCATGCTTATTCAGTTTGGCTCTGGAACCCCCGTGCCCCGTAAGGATCTGTGATGTCCAGCAGTCCGGATTCACCCACTTCGCCTCTATCCTGGAACTAACGGTGGGAAAATACTTCCTCAGGGTAGAACCCTTCTCGCTTCTCACCCACCGCTCGTTCCACTCCCGAAGTGAGTCCTCCTCCACCAGCTTCTTCCATCTTCCTGGCTCCTCCTCAGCCCTTCGCCGTAGTCCCTCCAGAAGCTAACCGAGTCCGTGTCTTTTGACATCGAACCTGATTACGTCTTCCTTTAGGATCAGATCGATGGGCATCTCTCCAGCCAGTATCTGGACCGCCTCGTGCAACACCGTCCTGTAAGCCTTTGTGACTCTCAGTAGGGCCAATCTCTGGATAGTTGCCAGCTTTCCACGCTGCTCCCTCGTCAGTCGCCGACTCCACGGAGGCGATGCGTACCTAATTATGCCTAGGACGACACCTTTGTAGAATGTTCTGGTAGCTGGGTACTTGACCCCCAGAACGCACTACCTATCCTCGACAGGCCATATAGTGTGCTGGTCACCCTACCTCTCAGGTATGCGACGTGTGGGCCGGGGTCGAATGATCTCCTGAACCTCACCCCGAGGTACGTGACCTCCTCATACGCGTGCACCATCGTTCCTCGTATGTCTAGGTTGATTGGGTGGGCTCTGTCGGTTTTCCCTTTCAGCAGCATCGCCTGTGTCTTCTTGGCCGTCATCTTCAATTTCCTCTTCTGGCTCCACTCCTCCACTAGGATGGCCAGTCTTTCGGCTTCCACCTTCACTCTGTCCCTACTGTTCGCCGTAACCAGCACCGCCAGGTCATCCACGTATGCAATGGCTCGGTACCCTTTCTTCTCCATCTTACCAAGCAACTGATCAAAAACTAGTTTCCACAGTGCTGGCCCGAGTACCGAGCCCTGCAGGCACCCTCTCTCGATCCCCTCTCCACCCCGGATATTCACTCTCCTATCTTTGAGGTAACTACCTACGAGGGAGTATAGATTGCTGTGGACATCGTACTCCTGCAGCCTCTGCATCACAACGGGCCACCAGACGCTATCGAAGGCAGAAGATATGTCGAAGAGTATCAACAACACATACTTCTCCTCCGCTTCATTTGCATCAGCGCATCCGCCGTGCCCTTCCCTTTTGTCGAGACGAACTGTCGCGAATGACCCGCCACGCGCAGCACCGGTTTCATCCTCTCTATTATCAAGTGCTCCAGGACTTTGCAGATCACTGGGAGGATGCATATGGGCCTGTAGGCCTTAGGCTTTTCTCTATCTTTACCTCCCCCCCTTATGCAGCAGTCTGAGGTCCGCTTGCTTCCATTGATACGGAAAGTGCCCTCTGTCTAGGAACAGGTTGCATATGGCCAGAAGCTCGTCCTCTATTTGAGGCGCACTGTTCCTCAATATCGCTGCATCGATCTCGTCAAGTCCCGGAGCCATTCCTATCTTCTGCTTCTCTGTCGCCAGGCGGAGGTCCCAAATGCACAGGTCCGTTCCGGGAGGATAATCCGTAGTCCTTCTGGTCATCTGATCCTCCTCCGTGTCCAGGGCCGGGTCGTCCACGTGTGGTCCACGTACATGGCCACTGCCTCTTCCAAGGTTTCAGCCTGTCTACCGTCCACTCTCATGGCAGCCATGAGTTGGAATGGCTTCATCTTGTCGAGTGCGACCCTGTACAGTATCCCCCAAGGATTTTTCTAGGTTTCCCTTTCAATGAATTCATCCCAGGATGACTTCTTTCGCTGGCGCACTTCCTTGCGATATTCTTTGAGTTTGCGCCTGCTTTCCAGTCGGAGCACCTATCTTCTATCCTCGTTCCTGCAGCCATAGCAACTTCGTCTATCCCGGTGGTATTCGCGCTTCAGCGCCGTCAAGGTCGGCGTCCACCACGGCACTGGTCTTTCCCTCACCTTCCTCCTTCGAAGGGAGGCCTTCGCCATCTCTCTCATGGCGCCTGTCAGCACTTTTTTTTCTTCCCTACCTCGCCTTTTAGGTTTAGGCTGTACGGGATTTTCCCGTGCCGGAGGGTGAGGGCGGGGAATTTAGCTCATTCGGCCACCCCGCCCCCTCTTTCAGCACGTGTATTCTGTGCTCAATACCGCGCGCTTCGTCATCTGCCGGTGGTTCCTCCAACTCCCTGTCCACCAGGATGTCTTCCAGCGCTCCTCGGCACCGCACCCAGTCCACCGACCTTGTGACGTATCCACGGTCCCCTTCCGCTCGTCTCTCCTCTTTTATTCTCACTGCACCGAGCATGATAGCCCCAAGGTCCGAGCTCGTATTAGACCTGAGGCTCCAGTTTGTCGTCTCATCATTGGAGCTGAGGCCAGCGTTATGTCGATCCAGCTTTGTCCCCTGGGTCCCACAAACGTGGGGTCACCGGGTTCGTTCACTATTTTCAGCTGCCATCTGGCTATGCTGTCCTCAAGCTTCACTCCTCTTCTATCGGTGACTTCCGAGCCTCAGGCCGTGCTCCACGAATTCGCATATCAACACGTTACCGTACTGTTGCGCCACGGCATCCATGTGCTCGATGTTTCCCTCTTTGTCAACTTTCGGCGGCATATACGCCGACACCAGGGCGAACGCTGCGTCTCTAATCTAGCATGCCGCTTGGTAGGCCGTCGTATGCTGCTTCATCTCCATGACATCCAGTAAGGGGTTGAGGATTACTATTGCTGCCCTAGGCCTCCTCTCTCCACTGCTTTGGGCAACGACCCTTGCCGCCATCACCGGTCACCTAGTTGTTTTTACAGCAAGGCTCCTGTACTGCAAGCAAATCAAACTTCGCGGTTTGGGCCCTCAGCTCATCCGCCATCACCTTCCTCCGCGCCATGTTGATCTGCCCAATCCTCAGCTTAATCATAATTTGTTCTTCTGGCCATGAGCCTCATCTCGCTCAGGTGAACCGGGCACTCTCTGCTTCCAGCGCAGTGCTTCCCTTCACTCTCCTTCCTTCCACTCCTCCTGCAGTTCCTGCGTTCCGGGGGCAGGCTTCTCTTTGGGCACTCCTTGTAGATGTGTCCTTCCTCACCACACCATCTGCAGGTCAACTACTCTTTGCATTGGACTTTGGTATGACCGTACCCTTGACATTTCAGGCACAGAGGGGGGGTCGATGTAGTCCCTCACTTGGAGGTTCCACCATCCCCCACTGATACTGTCTAACAGCAATATTGCCATCCTTGTCCTCGGGTGAATCTCCAGAACCCAAGTCCTCTTGAGCCCGCTCCTCTCCCAGTTAGAGAAACAGGCTCTTTTCCAGTCTTGGGCACCTTGCGCCGGTCTCTCAAAGCCCTTAGCCGCCAGTTTTTCCCATATTACCTCAGCCTCTCAGCCTCTCAGCTGTCCTCTCGGAAGGCACCCACATTATTTCTAATCGGGGCTTCCTTTTGCTGGCCAGCTGTGCCGTCAGGCCTTTCTCCCGGAGCCTGTCCCACCCTATGAGCTTCTTGGCTTCTTCTGGGCCTTTCGTTCTTACGAGGGCGTACTTCTTATACGTTACCTTGACCACGTCAAAGTCCGTCTGGGCCTCTCCCCTTATGTCCTCGGGGAGCATTTCCCATATGTCCCTCGGGTTCCAATCTTCCTGACCCTTGATGGTGACATAGGTTTCTCTAGCCTTCGATGCTCTTAGGGGGTCCTGCTCCGAGAGCAGCTTCCGCTCAACCATATCCCCCAGCCCGTTGAGCAGGTCGCTGTGGCTGTGCTGCCTCTCAGTTTCTTTCCCTTTCTGGCCCTCTACTGGAGTGGAAGTCTTTTGCCTCTTCTTCTTTCTCGCCTTCCTCTTCTTCCTTCTACTTTCCACCACTGTAAATTCGCTCTCCTCCTCCTCTTCAGATTCGGGGCGCATATTCCTCTCGCGACACATCTCTACTCCTGTGCTTCTGAGTGGCATAGGTGCGGGAATTCCGATCTCTCCTGCCGATCCTGGAGTCGGTTTTCCCCTTTCTTCCTCCCGCTGGCTTTTAGATCTGGAGGATTCTTCGCAGTTTCCCCACCTGACCTTTTTTGCGGGTCTGGCCGAGCACTCCGTCTCTGCCACTCTATCATCACCTGGAAGTTCGAGCATCCAGTTGCACAAAACCGTCATTTTTGCGTGTGCTGGACTGAATCATCCCTGGGGTATTTTGCTTCAATGAAAATACTGGCTGTCTCTTCCAGGGTGGTTGCCTGAGTATCTTGATATTTCAAAGCTGCAATCGTCTGCAGTGGAGTCAGCTTACCAGCCACCCTGTACGGAATACCCCAGGGATTCTTCGAGGACTCTTCGATGATGAACTCGTCCCTGGACTTCCGTTTTTGTGAGTGGACCTCGTTTCAGTATATCCTGGATTTAGATTTATACTCATTCCGAAGTGCAATGCGCCTCTCGTCACATCTGCACCTCTGATAATACCGCCGGGCTTTGTAGAGGTTTCCCTTTAGAACAGTTAAGGCTGGCGTCCTCCATGGAACCGGTCGAGCTCTTGCTTTCAGGTGCTTCAGGGAGTTTTCGGCAGCGTCATGAATGATATTGGTGATTCTAGATACCTTGTAATCCTGGTCATTAGCTACATCCATCTCCATCACATCCCATTCTTCATCTACAATTATTCCTTCAAGACAGCACCTGAAGACACTCCAGTCACTTATTTTCATAACAAAACCTTTATCAATACCGTGGGAACATCCATCAGGTCGATTGCTGTCGCAATGTGGTTGGAACTCGTTTGAGAGTGATGTACCATCTGACAGCACTGACAGCACTGCAAAAGCACAGGCGTGGCGATCGTGACATCAATCCAACTCTGTCCCATAACTCCAGAAAACGTAGAGGTAGCAGAGGGTTCATTCATCACTACAAGGTGATTTCTTGCTATGAAATCTCCCATTTTCGCGCTTCGCCTATCAGGAATATTGGACCCCCCGACGGTGTTCGAGAAGTTGGAATCTGAGCAAACGAACACATTCCTAATCTCTCTAATGATCGTTTCCATAGCGGATATGCTTTCATCAATATTAGCCTCCTCTATCCACTGCTCAGGGCCATAACCCTCGACGTGAGACCAAACCCTGTGACCTTGTTCCCACGGCAGATCGGTTCCTGGACCGCCATTATGTCGTAGCGTTTAGAAACAGCACGAAGCTCATCAGCCACAATGCGTCGGCGACCCATATTTAGCTGGAGGTTAGTGATTTTAGTCATGAAATGTTTTTCCCACTACCTCTTGAGACTTCTTTATATGCACCGGGCAGACCCGACTTCCTGCCTGACGCTTAGCTTTGCTACTGAAGATACCTTCCCTCACGCAGTTTACGCAGATTGGGGCTTTTTTATTTATTTTTCAGGACATCCTTAGCTATGTGGGCAGATACAGAGCACCACTTGCAAATGATACCGTTAGCTTCGCATGTGGTCCTAGTATACCTGTATCCTTGGCATGGAAGGCATGGAGAAGCATCAGGTTTATCAGTGAATTTCAATACCCACCAACCCCCAGCTATTATTTCCTCCTTCAGATGGTTATACCTAACTACTGGGTTCACTTCAATCACCCAATTATTTGTGATTTGGTTTTTGGCCATTGTGGAAAACAGTGACTTAATATGGCCCGATATGTTCTCCGTTGTATGGACTGTTTTCGCAGCTAACTTCTCTCACATTACCCATTCTAGATTTTCAGCTGTCTATGAACACCTTTAACTTACAACTTAGGTTTCCTCTTCTGAGCTAGTTGCCTCCATCCCAGCTTCTTTTGTTTTCTGCCAATAAAGTAATTTTATGACAAGGTTATCTTTCTCCACGCAAATTAAAACGGAACAAGCTTTGGTTGCTCGAACAATTCTGGCATTTATTCCAAGATCTAATGGAGTAGGCAAATCATTGATGACATCAATCGCTGTCTTTCCCTCGCCAACTATGGTCAGATAAGTTGGTTTTGGAGCATCCGGTGCTTTTAATGGCAGAGTTTTAACAACATCTGCCATAGTCTTCTTCTTTTTAGTCGATACCTCAGATAATTTTTTTAGCTGTACATTCTGTTTAATACCGCACTCCTTGGTCACAACAGAAGACTTTTTCTTCTTCCGCTTTCTCCTAATAATGGAAAAGGTTTCAGTATCTGTGATACCTTCCTGGGTGTCAGCTAATGATTCCTCTCTAGCTACTGTTAGTTCGCGAGATGTTCCTGGTGCTACTGTTAGCCCTTGTGGTGCCGTAGTGGCTGCCATGAGCCCTTCTAGGACCATTGGTACTGATTTTTCAACAATAGATTGAATTATATTTTCATAAACAATAGAGGACGCTAACGTGTCTTTAATTACACGTTGGATCAAAGTTTGCTGCTAGTCTTGTTTATCATTAATTGTATCCATGATATCAATCAATTGTTGCACTTTACTATTGATGTACTTTTGAACTTTAAGATTTACATTTCTGTTTGTAGTATTCATATAAACTCTAATGTTCTCTTTAATTCGACGTCCATCGTGTAGGAGAGCATCTTCTATTCTAATCATTCCAGACTCCTCACGGGAATCAGGGGATCCCTTTCTTTGCCGTTTTACGGCAGACCTTGGATGCTTTAAGATCTGTTCTTCTTCCACTCGTTCCTCCATTGCTGTTTCGACGCTGTTAGACATGTCACAGCAATGTTATTTGTCCAAAATTTGTAACTAAATAAGTTATAATGATGGGCAAGTAATAAAAATAAGTGTTTATAAAACTTAACCTAAAGTCGTTATTGGCTATTACAGCTTCCTTTGGTAACCACACACTTCCCTCTATTATGGAAACATTCCACTTTTATCCATTTTCCAAAGCCAGGCAAACTTCCCAACAGCTTGAGATCCTACAGACCAATAAATATACTCCCAAAAATCTTTGGAATAATTCTTTTGAAACGAATCCTACTCCTTATAGAATTTCAAAATCTTCTTTCCCATCAATTTGGTTTTCGCTCAAAACACTCCTCTATTCAACAAGGATTCCGAGTCGTTGATCATATATCTGCAGCCCTAGAAAACAAGCAATACTGCTCTAGTGCATTTCTGGACATAGCACAGGGCTTTGACCGGGTATGGCTCCCCGGGCTGCTGGTCAAACTTAAAATCCATCTTCCTCAGTCCTTATACCTAATCCTTCGATCCTACCTCTCTATGCTCCTTTCGAGTACACTGTAGAACAACATATTCGGATATCTACCCAGTTAAAGGCGATGTCCTCCAAAGCAGCGTCTTGGGTTCTGTGCTTTACATCCTCTTTACCGCTGATATCTCTATTCATTCCGATACCTTCCTTGCAACATCTGTTGATGACACCGCCATCATATCATCCAACTCAGATCCCGAAATACCATCCTTAAATTTACAAAGGCACCTATCATAGGTTTAACACGTGTAATAAATGGAGTATTAAAGTAAATCAATCGAAATGCAAACTTATTACTTTTATGCTCCGAGGCAATGCCTGTCCATCAGTACACTTTAATTCCAACTAGCTTCCTTACTCAGGTAGTCTGGTATCTTAACTTTCTCTTAGACCAGAGGTCTCCAAACTAAGGCCGCAAGCACCTCTAGTCCGGCCCGTGAATTTTACTCATGATTGTTCTTTCCCCTCCATTGATTAACCAATTTTTAAATTGCAGCTAAAATATAAAGAGCTAAAAACATGAAAAAATATTTGGACTACCCCTTATCCATTATATTTTTAAAATACTCAAACATTGGTCCATCTGTTTTATATTATTTATTTTCAGACGTAACTAATGACTTAGTCCTTGCACAAGCATTCATGTTCTTCTTTGCTGGCTTGGACACTACTGTTCTCGTTATGCTACATACTGCACTTGAATTATCTCTGGCGAAAAGCTGTCAAGAAAAAGCTCGCCAAGAGGTCAGAAGTGTGCTGAAGAAATACGGGGGATATTCTTGGGAAGCTGTGAGAGATATGAAGTATTTAGATCAATGTATACAAGGTATGTGATCATGTGTGAGGGAGCAGTGCCAAACTATTCTCATTTCACTAAATATTTCTGATTATCTGTTAATTAAACATTAATTGCCTTTATCATTAGCAATTCACTGCACAGATAATAAATGCTAGGTAAATGATAATATAAATTCCTTGACACGTTTAGTTGTAACCGTTATAAGAAAAATTATAGACAAAGCCATCCAAAACACTTGTCGATTCGTTTAATGCATTAAAATAATAGTAAAAAATATGAAATTAAATTAAAAATTGAATCATTTCATATTATTTTTATTTTTATGAATGAATGAATTTTATTTAGTATTTATAAAATAACACAAACTATAAAAGAATCCAAAATCAATAAAAATTGGTTCTTAACCCATTAGCTGGAGGTTGGCCTTGGCAAAGGAGTATTATTAATACAATAATATATACTAAAACCTACAATGTCACAAATAAATACAGAAATATAATGTATCAAATCATAATCCTATAAAATATAAATACACAATACAGCAATAATATATAAATAAATAAACATTTTTAATATAAATACATAAATAATTTTTCGGGCTTAACATTATTAATCAACTAATAATTGAGTTCCTGACATAAGACATATCTGTATTGCCAAGTCATTTCACTATAATTGGTAGGATTTGCCCATTTTTTTTAATATGCAATTATTTCCAAAAATGTCAAAATATATTTTCCAAAATATTTTCTCCTAGGTTCCGCTAGAACAGAACATATACCTAGGAAATGCACGATATTATTATATCACATAATAACATAATTTATTATTAGTTTCATAATATACCCTACAGTTTAGTTGTATTAGTTCTCCTCTGGCCTTTAATTAATATCCATTTTATTATTGTTTCATTTTAACTCTTATCGAAATAATTGTTTACTGATATATCATGATTCAGACTTTTGTATGTAGTAATTTTATTTGAATTTTTTGCTGGAGTATTGAATCTATTTGCATTTACTTGTGTTAATAAAATCAAAATCTATTTGATATTGATTTATTTAATACTTAACATCTTGAAACCAAACTGTTTCCTTTTTAATTATTTATTTATTTAATTATATTATTTTTTGTAACCTTTTATATGAATCTCTTTATATGAACCTCGACATATATAATTATATTTTATTTTTTCAAAATATGACAGTGTTAATTGAGTTCCTGTATGGATGATACACAACCTCAAAAAACGTTTCCATACAGTTAGTTTTTCTTTAACATTGCTAAAAATCTATTTACTATATTATTTTTATTAATCAGGAAGGGTAGTAGAGGTAAAGGTGTACCAACATCATAACAATACTGGATCACTAATAGTAGGAAGAGATACAAATTTAATCTGACAGTCAAAAAAGTTTCCATACATTTATAATATCTTAATTTTACTTCTATTCAATGCCATTATTTTGCTCAAAAAATATTATCTGAGCACTATATTCAAGGTTTAGTTAAGGTTCAGACTTCTTCAATTTTCTTGGGCGGTCTAAACGAGGCCTGTCCTCCAACAAGTTTAATTCACTATGTCTGTTTAACATGTACTGCACAGTTACATGCAATTTATTTAATAAAATTCCAATTTTTCAGAGAGAAAATTATTGACCTTTCAACCACAGGATTTGATCACGAATGCATCGCTCTAAACATATACTGATTATTTGAAGTAGACTGAACCTTTACTAAACCTTGAATGTAGTGTTCAGATAACAAATTTGAGCGAAATAATGGCATTGAATAGAAATAGAATTAAGATATTACAGATGTATGGATATTATTTTGAAATTCAGATTAAAGTTGTGTCTCTTCCTGCAATGGGATTAGTTACCCAGCATGAACTTGTTATCATGTTGATACAACTTTGCCTCTACTACCTTTCCTGAGTAATAAAAACAATATAATAAATTTATTATCAGCAATGTTAAAGAAAAGCTAACTGTATGGAAACTTTTTTGTGGCAGTGTATATGCAGGTGTAAATTGAATATATTTTTCAAAGAATAATGCTGTACTTTTTTAACTTCCTTATAATCTCTACCTCCCCACACCTATGCGCCATAATTCATGATTGATTTAATGGCAGTTTTGAAAACTTTAATTTTTGCATTAAAATTTACTTTATTATTAGGTAAGGAGCTTTTTCCATAATACATTGATACTGACCGTTGTTTTATAAACTTTTTGTTGAAAATAATTACTCATTGATAAATTTGTTGTTAATAATATCCCTAAGTACTTATAAAAGTTTACTATCTGTATGGTTTGATTATTAAATTTCAATTTTTCACTTTTTTCCAGTTTCCCTGCTTTCTAAATACCATAATTTTATATTTAAATTCCAAGTCCTTTAATATATTTTCAAATTATTTATCATTTCTTGAAATACTGAGGGTTTTGTTGCCAAAATTACGATATCATCTAAATATACTAATAATTTAATTCTTTCGTTATTAATAGATAATCCACACCCGAAAAAATTTCTAAATCATTGATATAACAGGAAAATAAAAATAGGCTGATAATACATTCCTGTTTTAGTCTCTCTCTCTCTCCGTTTTAAAACTGTTTGTTAATCCATTCCCTATCCATATTCAGCCTTCAGTATCACCATATAATACTTTTATTAAATTGATAATCTTTGAGGAAACTCCTACTTCATATAGCTTATAGAAAATCGTGTTTCTGTCCACATTGGCAAATACTGATGAGAAGTATATAAAGAATGCATAGACTTTCCTCCTTTTAATATTTAAATTCAAAGTTATAATATTAATGAGATTAAATATATTATTAATGGTTGAAGAATTTTTACGATAACTTGCCTGATAATCACTTATTATATTACATTCATTTGCCCAATTTCTTAATCTTAGGTTTATTAGCTCCAAAAAAAATTCCTCAATCGAGTTTATTTATAGTATTTTTATTTTTATAATCTGCAGATGAGAGATGATTGTGGACGGGAGGGGATAAGCCTAAATAGATATATAGAAAGCTTTATTTCACATAAATATATATTTTCTTTCTTTAAAAAAATAAAACTTTTCCTGACATTGTATAGATCCGTCTGCCAAGAATTATCCCTAAATACACATCTAAAAAAAATAAAAACAATACATTTGAATACTCTATATAAACTTTAAATTGACAAAAAAATAAGAAATTAATGATATTTGTAGAAAATGCTTTATTTAATACTTACTTTTCTTTTGTTTACTTATAACTGAAAATTTTTATGTACTGTATCCTGAATTTAGAACATTCTACAATATATTTATAAGCAGATATATGATACATAAATTAACTGTTCCAATCTTTACCATTTAGTAAGTCTATAAGTTCAATGCGGTTTATTAATTCTTTAAAAAAATACTGGAGTTCTATAAGCCGGACAAACAGTGCGTGGTGGTATACATCCTCAATTACATTTAAATTACAAAGACTAGAAGAATCTTTATTGTTCACTACTCATTACAATAGGAAATATGCTAGTATAGGAAATGTGTTAAATTAAATGAAATCACTCGAATATTTTCAAATTGATAAATTTCAAATTTATTAAGGTAAGAATGAAATGTGAAATTTATATACATAAATTTAAACCATAATATAAAATATAATAGTTAAATTTAAGATATATATATATATATATATATATATATATATATATATATATATATATATATATATATATACAGGATACATATAGATATAAAATAATATAAACTAAAAAAGATTTCAACAAAACAAGAAATGAAGACAATTATTTGTATGACTTTAATAATTCAATTTTTTTTTTTTTTAAATATTTCTTAAGCAATTTATGTTTCTGGAATCCTCAATTTGTTTATTTCATTAATAATTTAACTTTTTTTTTATTTTCGTTCTGTGTAAAGAGTCTATACTAGGTGTTCATATTTCATTTGTAGGTCTGCAATGAACTTAAAAATTGTTGAAATTATCATAATGGTTCTAAATCCCGTGTATACTATAATCAGAGGCAATATTAAATATCTGGCCTTCAAGTTACATGCTCTCACAGTTTGTCTTACACTGTCGAAGTTTTATTAAACTTCCAACAGTTTATGCACACAACCCCCACTTGTCTCGCTCCAAGTTTGCTATTTCCTAAATTTATTCCGAGCAAAATCCGGTCCTTATTATTATATGACATTCATTTTTATATTTTTACTTTATTTTATGTTTTTTTTTCTTCGTTTTTTCAGAAACTTTAAGGATGCATCCATCACTTCAATTTATCGTCAGAATGAGTGACAAAGACACCGTAATAGACGGAGTAAAAATAAAAAAAAACACAAGAATCATCATACCCTTGCATTCAATACAAATGGACCCAAATCATTTTCCTAACCCTCATATTTTTGACCCAGAAAGATTTAGCGTTCCGCTAAGTTCAAAGTTCACTCACCTGCCGTTTTCAGAAGGACCTCGTGTATGTCTAGGTAAGTTAGTAACGATTTCCTGAAAAATATGAACAAAGCTAACTCAAAACAATATCCAAAAATATTTGTGGATTCGTTGGAATTGGGAGTTGTAACATTTGACCTTTTTATTTATTTATAGACAGAATTTCTATAGAACTAATGCATTTAAATCTTCTTAAACAAGGATTTTTCTATCCAGAGATGGATCATATATTTGGAATGGATCATATATATTTATGGATCATGGATTAGGAACGTGATAAAAAAAATTAATAAATATTCGATGATTTAATAAAAACAGAACGTAGCGTAGTTGAGTTGCTTAAAAGCCCTAAAAAATACTTAAAAACCTATTTAAAAAAACCTTAAAAGGTTTTAACATCTCTACTTTCGTTTGAAGTAAATTTTGTTTAGTCTATTAGGAAGTAATTGTTATTTCTTTAAACTTATTTTTTTTATTTATCGCTTCTTCAGTAGGGAGCTAACTTGATCCGCTCTGCCTTTCCCTACCTGGACCCAGCTTTAGCCTCAAAATATGTGCTCATTTGTGCGGCCCTACTCAGGCCTTCAGTAAAGGCGGTCGGTACACGACGCCCTGACTGATATGAACGTTTGCGCTTCACGTAGTGCAGGGCATCGTGTGACCGTGTTGGGAATGACAAGTCGCGAATGTGAAGTGACAAATGTTAGCGAATAATCCCGGCCACACGATATAATCCCGGCCAGTATAATAGTATAATAAATAATATTTAATTATTTCATTTATCTTTTCTAAGGGCGTAGAAAAATTAATAATGTCAACTTTATTTTAATTTTATCCCAATTAATACTGTTTAATTTTTAATAATTATAAAGTTCATATAGTAAAAATTAATTAATTAAATACAGGCTTTTATTTAACCTCACTCGTGAATTATAACTATTAGTTACTTTTCTGTCTCTGAATACCAATATTTCGAATTCACTGTATTCTCAAAAAATCATACTATAAAAAAAATACAGTAAAAGCAAAATAAATATTTCCAATAAATGAATAGTTATTAGTCGATAAAAAAAAAAACCTTTAGAAAAGTACCAATAAATCCTATACTTGAGCAAATAAAATAAAGAAATACGTAAAATAATAAATATTACAGACCCAGAATACATAGAAATTATTTCAATATGTAATAATTATTATAACTGTTCCATTATTACAAGCTGTAATAAAAAAAAAGCCTTTATTGTACGCCACTATAGTATTGGATTGGCAAAAAGTCCTTTCGTTTTTTCAGGATGAAATAAAACTCAACATATTATAGAGATAAAATTTATTTTAATCAACAATATACTGACCATTATTTAATTAATCATTGATGTCAATATTTCCTGAATGAAATTTGGCATACCAATTTTAACAGGAGCGTTCGGTTAAGGCATCATCCCCATAAACACTGCCAACTTTTCTATGAACTTAAGCAGCACGCTTACCTTTTTTAAAATAATACAACAAAATATGCCGATAATGAATGATATTTTCTTTCATATTTACAGTGCAATAGCAAACACAATACTAGGCTAGTTTTAATAAGAGTTAACAGATATAGTTTTTCACATATTACAAACAGGATAAACAATCCACCTTAGGGATTAATTCATCATGTAAGAAGTGTATCATAGTGATATAAAAATAAACAGTAAAACCGAAAGGACTTATTTGCCAACCCAATATACACATAATTACAGAAAAATGTTAAAGAAGCTGTACGGACACATTAATTGAGTTTTTGATACATAAGATTCAACATTAAAGATTGAAACATGAAAAAAATTACAAATAAAATTTTATTTTAAATCAATAAGTTTCTTTTGACGTAAAGTGTTGTTCAACAAATATTATTTCAGGAAAGAGATTTGCAACATTGGAGACTGCAACAATCATCGCACATATTCTTGATAACTTTGAACTTCATCCAAGTCCGGAATTGAAGTTTCCACTGAAGTATGAACCAAATGCTTTATTCCACTCACCTATCTCCAATGACGAAATTTCTATTATTTTGAAGAGGATAATGTAAAAAATCTATTTTTAAATTCATTTCTTCACTTCAAGTTTCATATTGATTTTTCAACAGTGTAAATAATAAAATAAAATAGGGAAAAGTGTTTAGAAATTAAATATATTAAGTATTATAACTGTACAAATTATAACTATGAAACAATAAACTAACTTTTATAAAGAATGTCTATTAATCAACCTTTAAAAAATCAACAATTAGCTATTACAGGCATAGAAAAAAATGAACATGCATATAAAATACAGAAATGTAATAATAATAATTTGGGAATACGTACCGCTACTGCTGCCAATAGACACTTTATTTTATTTTATGTTTACTACAGTGCACAACTGAGCGCCTTGCTGATGGGACCGCACCTTAGTCTCCAGCTGGTTGCGCGTCTTGCCTTCCTTAGTAGCTTCCTCCAACAGTTTGATGCTGCCTCTCCCAGTCCTCTTCCTCATGGCCTACTCGTGGAAATGATCTCCCTATTGTGAAGTGCTTAGATTCTTCCTTTTGTCTCTATTTTCCCAGGAACTCCACGAAGTGGATTTCTCCTCTTCCATCAGCCGAGGAAGATCCTCTACTTCCAGACCGTACAGTCCCGTCCCCCATATCAATATGCCTCTGGCTTGCTCCATCGCGGTGCATGATATAAACTTTTTTTTTTCTTTTCCGCCCTGCCTGGCATTGTTGCAATACGGGCTTTTGGCAGCAGTGGGTCAATACGTTTGGGTTCTCGTAAAACCACTGCTGCCAATAATCAACATTTTATTTATCATTTTTACTTTTACATTTTATTTATAAGAATTTTACAAAATTCTTTTGGGAATTTTTCATTTATTTGACATAACAACAATTAAATTGGGTATACTATGGTGCGGCCCGGTACACAGTTGTGCACTTTTATGATGGAGCCGTACCTTGTCCGCACCGCATCCGTCCGATCCTTAGTCTTCTTCGTTCTCCTCTGGTGGTCTCCTTGCCGCTCCCAGGGAGAAATGTGCAGAGCCGATTGTGTCTCTCCACCCGTACACAAACTCCTTAAAGAGCGGGTAATTTTCTTTCTCCACTAGGCGGGGAAAATCCTGTTCTCTTTGGCTATACAGCCCCATTTCCTTCAAGAGTTTGGCGTCCCTCCATTGCGGTGCAGGATACCAAGATGTGTTCTGCCATCTCGGGGACTCCGCAGGGAGGGCACCGGGGGTCGATGTCCTTCCCATGGTCAGCCAGCTTTCCCCGGAACCCACCATGTCCTGTGAGAATCTGCGAGACCCAATAATCAGGACGGACCCAAGTAGCCTTAAGTCTGTCTTGGACGGTGGGGAAGAACTTTCTGAGGGTGGATCCTTTCCTGCTTTTCACCCACCGTCTGTTCCACTCCTGGATGGATTCCTCCCTGACTATCTTCTTCCATTGGTTACGGTTCTCGCAGATTCTTCTTCGGAGTCCCTCCGGTAGCGTATCCAGTCCCTGCCTCTTGATCTCGAACTTCAAGGCGTCCTCGTTGAGAATTAGATCCAGGGGCATCGCTCCGGCCAGCACCTGCATCGCCTCGTGGGACACCGTTCTATAAGCTCTCGTGACGCCCAGCAGAGCCAGACGTTGTGTGTTGGCCAGTCGTCGCTTATGGTTTTGCGTCAGGTTTCGGCTCCACGCGGGGGATGAGTACCTCAGGAGACCCAGGATGACTCCTTTGTATATTGCCATGGTTGCCGGGTACCTGAGGTCCCAGAAGGCACCCCCGATTCTTCGTAGACCATTCATCGTCAGGGTCACCCTACCCCTCAGGTACTCTAGGTGAGGAGTGACGTTGAAGTTTCTTCTGATTCGTACCCCTAGGTATGTCGCCTCCTCACCTACCCTGACCCTTGCATCTTGGATGTCCAGGTTGATAGGGTGAGCCCTGTCCGTGGAGCCTTTTATGAGTATGGATTGCGTTTTTGCAACGGCCATGGTTAGTTTCCGCTTGACGCAACACTCTGAAACTAGACTGGAGCACCTCTCCGCTTCCGTCTTTAGTCTGCTGTTCTCAGCCACGATTACCGCCAGGTCGTCGACGTAGGCCGTGGCAGGGAAACTACTATTTCCTAGTTCCCCCAGCAACTGGTCGAAGACGAGCTTCCACAGGGCTGGACCTAGGACTGAGCCCTGCGGACAGCCCCTCACTATCCTCCTCTGGACGTCGTAGTAGTTACCCCTAATCCTCACGGTCCTGTGACTGAGGTAACTGCCTACTAGAGAATAAAGGTTACTGGAGGTGTCGAGCTCTTGCAACCGCTTGAGTACGCAGGGCCACCATACACTGTTGAAGGCGGAGGATATGTCAAACAGTATCAGGAGGACGTACTTCTCCGCCTTCCCCTCCACATCCCTGGACACTCTAAGCAGTGCATCTGTAGTTCCCTTGCCACGGGTTGAGCCGAACTGCCGTGGATGTCTAGCTGCATTGATGATCGGTCTCAGGCTAGTGGCCATCATTTGTTCCAGGACCTTGCTGACAACCGGGAGAAGGCAGATAGGCCGATAAGCTTTGGGCGATTCCTTGTCCTTGCCTCCTCTCTCGTAGAGCAGTCTCAAGTCTGCAATCCTCCACTTGCTTGGGAAGTACCCCTTGTCCAAGCATTCATTCATGATGAGGAGGAGTTCCTCTTCTATTTAAGGGGTACTTTTCTTGAGGATTGCAGCGTCTATGTCGTCAAGTCCTGGAGCTCGACCGATCCTCTGCTTCTCCACGGCCAGACGAAGCTCCCAAATGTCCCATGGTGGGCATAGTTCGGTACCAGGTGGGTATGACGTGGTGCGTCTCACCATGCTATCAGCTTCGCTATCCTGGGACGGGTCATCCCTGGGGTAAGTGTATTCCACATACATCGCTGCACATTCCTCGAGGGTGGCGGCCTGGGCTCCAGCCACTCTGATAGCAGCTATCATCTGCTGCTGTCTTACTATGCCCCGTGGCAACCTGTATGGTATATCCCTGGGATTCTTTTCCGACTCCTGCACTATGAACTCGTCCCAGGATTTCTGCTTGTCGAGACGCACGCCGTTTCAATATTTCCTGTACCTATGCTTCGCCTCCTCCCTGAGTGCAGGTCTTCTTTCCTCATCTCTGCACTCTTGGCATCTACGCCTAGCCCTGTAGTATTCTCGTTTCAGCTGTGTCAGGATTGGCGTCCACCATGGGACCGGACGCGCTTTCGCTCTTCGGCGCTGGAGGGAATTTTCCGCTGCTTCCGTGATGGCGTCCATCAGGTTCGCCACCCGCTCGTCGATGTCCGCCGTTTCCTCAACGGGCACCCTCTCCTCCATTATTCCCTCCAGTGTACTGGAGTAGGTACTCCAGTCCGCCGTTCGTGTCACGAACCCCCTTTCGCAAATGGGGACTCTGCCTTCCTCCTCCACTACACTGAACGCTATAATCTGGTGGTCGGAGCTCGTGTCAGACCGTAGGGTCCAGTCCGCCACCCTCCTTGCCATAGCGGTCGTGGCGAGTGTCACGTCGATATGGCTACTCTGGCCCATTGTTCCAACAAATGTGGGTCCAGAGGGCTCGTTCATCACGACAAGTTGACATGTCGTCACGAGTTCCTCTACCGCTCTTCCTCTGGCAATCGTGCTAACCCAACCCCAGGCCGTGCTCTAAGAGTTGCTGTCGGAACAGACTATCGTACTTCTGTATCGCTGTACGACAGCCTCCACGGCAGTGATATTCTCCTCTATGTCTGCCTACTCAGACGGCATGTATGAGGAGACTAGGGCGAAGGATATTCTGCTCCATTTAACGTAACATGCTGCCTGAATTTCTTCAGTTCTATTACGTCGATGGCGGGGTTCACTATCACTATCGCCACTCTGGGCTTCCTCTCTCCACTACCCAAGACGACTACCCTCGACCTCACACCAAACCCGACCACGTTGTTTCGACACGATGGTTCCTGGATAACCATAATATAGATTCCTAGGGCGAGAGCTCTCATTTCGTCCGCCACTATTCTTCTTCGGCCCATGTTGAACTGTAAAATATGGAGCTTATCCATATCTAGACACCCGCTCTGAGAGAGTGCATGAAAAGAAGTGATGCTGTAAGACGGTGGTTTAAACGTACCCAACTCCCGGAAGACTACATGGCCTTCAAACAACTTCGAAACAGCACCCAGTCTGCTATACGCCTAGCCAAATCCCGTTATTTACATCATACCTTATCCAACATCCCAAACTCCGAGGCCAAATGGGCTATTCTAAAAAAACTGACCATTTGTAACACATGTTATCCTCACCTCCTTCGAACGTACCGGCTCCTATGTATTTCTCTTTTAATTTTAATCCTGGTCAATTCTTTTTTTCCCATATTACACCTGATGACCTTCTCAACTCCATTGAGAAATTGTAAACCAATGATTATGGACCAGATAACATCCCAGTCAGACTGATCAAAGCCTTACTACCATCCATCCTTCCAATCCTGTACCATATCTACAATTACTCACTACAAAACCTTCCCTACATCCTGGAAAACCGCACTTGTTCGCCCTATGAAGAAGACTTCCAATCCAACAACTCTTAATGATTTCCATCCAATTTCTTCCTTCTCAAACCTTTCCAAACCTTTAGAGCGACTAGTTCAAACCCAGTTATCCGACTTTTTAGAACAGAATAACCTCCTAAATCCCAACCAGTCCGGTTACCGACCCGGCTACTCTACTCAATCTACCCTCATCAAAATTTCGCAAGACATTCATACAGCCATGGACCAGCAGAAACTCACCATCGTAATTCCTCTTGACTTCTGCAAGCCTTTGACTCAGTAGACCACAAAATTCTCCTAACCAAGCTTAAAAATATCTCCTTTTCAACTAGTATTCTTAATTGGTTCCAATCCTTTCTTACTGGCCGCTCTCAATATGTTGTAGTCCCCAATAACCTCCCATCAGAATCTTTACCCGTGTCCAGAGGTGTTCCACAAGGCTCCTCCTTATCTCTTTACCCTTTTTTTCATCTACATCAATGACCTTCCATCCTCTATCCTATATTGTCAATACCATCTGTATACCGACGACGTCCAGATTTACCTCTCCTTCAATCCGACCAAATCCTCTGACGTCATCCAAAAATTACAGGAAGATATAAACCGAATTAATGCTTAGGGAAACCACAATAGAATCACTCTAAACTCC